CGCCCATGGCCTCGTCAGCCGCGTCGCGCCGCGTCGCCAGCGGCTCAGGCAGCTCAGAGGCAGCGGCTGCCAACGGGAGGCCCTAGGGAGCCATTTTCCACAGCAGGCATCAGGGCTGGCGGAAGAAGTGGGTACGCTGGGTAGTGCTATGCATGCGAAAAAATTCCAGGTGGGCAATTACAAAATTTGGCCTCTTCAGGTGACCTTAAACGACTAGCTTTACTTTTTCACAATATTCTTAGAATCATACAGTGTGAAAAAGTATTGTTTCTACACATCCTTTTTGTAACTAAAAAATAAATATTTACACTATTTTACACGATTTGTCTTCTCTTTATTTTTTGTCTTCTTTATATCACTCAAAAGAAAAATAATCAACCAACAAACTCTTAATTTGCTTTCAAATACAAAATACAAATTAATAATTTAACAAAAATCTGGCTATTACCTCGCAACGGTCTTACTTGTACACTATCAAAAAATTAAAGAATATATTCAAGAATTTAATACCCTGACGCATAGGCTTTAGCTCTGACAACCGCTTTACATCGTCTCTGCATTGAATGCACCTCATATCAAGTTCTTTTCCAATCTTCTGCCCCAACGCGTTTTAATTGTTCCGACGACTGAGGTTTTCTTGAATGGACCATTTTCTTTCAATCAACCCATACATGTTCGATCGGGATCAGATCAGGATATTGTTGGAGAGTTACTTGGCAATTGCTTGGGCACGTTCCATTCAAGCCACTGTTTGCAGACATCAGCAGTATGCCTAGGGTCAATTTCTTGTTGAAAAGTGTATCTTTTCCCTAATTTGAATTTTTTATGCACTGTAATTAACATTTTTCTTCAAGGCGTTTAAGAATCTCTAATTGTTCATAATGCCAACAATGATCTGCATAGCGCCAACCCGAAAGTACAATGTACCCCCAAAACATTACAGATCTTTCTCCAGTTTCACATTAGGTAGAATATTGCAACTTCCGTTGGCCGTAGTTTCCTCTCTATACCGCTCGGCATCCATCAACCACAAAGAGCTCTTTCAGTTTCATCCGACCAAATAACATTATTCCTGAACATCGTATATTTATTTTCTTACTTTCTGCAGAATTTAATTCTGGAACGTCGATTACGTATGAATGACCTCTTCGTGCCGTACTGTGATGTCGTACTTTCACAGTACTCTTCGAATTGTTTGTTTCGATAGTTTGTTTTGCGCGATTTGTTTCATCATTTTGCGAATGATGGGAGCACTTAATGTTGAGGTTTTGCTCACCTGTTGAATTATGAAAGTGTTATGCCATTAGGCTTTTATTTCATTGGTATGTTCTTTGTTGAACCGTTCTATCTAAACTTATTTAACACATAGTTGACTGTAGAATGGGTTTTTTCACCGTGCGTTCAATTTCTCTCACAGAATCTCTCACAGGCTCTTAAACCAAGAGTTACAATGAGTTTCCTTGTCCCTGATAAGTTCTTTCCTCTCTCCCATCGTGAAACACACTAATCAGCAAACGAAATATAGCTGATAACGACCACTATAAAGGACGTCTGGATGTGTAGGAAAGTATTCACAGTCTAGAAATAAGGGAATCTATTCAAATGTACAAGAATGTTTTACGTGAATAGAATGAATTTCATACAATAAGGTGATTTTTGCGATAATCGCTTGCTTCATTTTATAAATTATGGAGTTATTTTCATTTTTTTCTTATTTTTCATTATTCGTGGTACATATTTTTCATGCAATAATTCTTGAATTTCCCATAACTTTTCCAATGTACTGTTATGCACTGTATATCAATTCCACTATTGAAAAAATATGAATGGATGTCTTTAGGGACTAATTGGGAGGAGCTGGGCTGCGTGTGCAGCAAAGCCGAAACAGCTCGCCCTTGATTACGAAACCACGTAGCAAGAGCCTGCCATTCGGTGCAACCAGAATGGTTTAATTAGATAGGAATGTCTAAAGTTGTACTTCTCCCTTAAAATGGGCGGTTTTCATTGTTCTTTAACGAAAACAAAGCAATTACCAGTAGAACAAGACGCATCTAATTACATATGGCTTGCCCAAACAATGGACCGGAGGGAGTTCTATAGATAGTGGGCGGGTGAAAGAATGCACAAGAGGGCGGACGGATGACCACACACATTTTTTATGATTACTATACGCAGAATTATCCAGCAATATTAAGGTATCTTTCGAATCCATTCTTTTCTCCCAAAACTAAGTTTCAAATGTTCGTCATTGACTTGAAAAGGCCATTTAAACATTCACACGCATTGCTGTGTATAGCTATATTCATTTTGGAAGGAGTTCGTGACAGATAAATTATATTCAGGAAACACAGTCATTCCAGGAATTCACGGCCACAGCGTTCGCACATTCGTTTTAATACAGCTCAGCACTATTTTCATCCCGGTAGCGTTGTTCCTGAGAGAAAAATTTAAAAAAGAATAAATAAAAACTTCTTAGAAATTGAATAATATATTGTAAGACGGAACACAGAATGGACAGAATAAATGACGGAAATAAATTTAATCAGGGGAAAAAATGGAAGATGATATGGAATCATAGAGCAGTGATGAAAATGATGAAACGAAGACGAGGGGTGAAGACATAAATGATAAAATGGAAATTATATATTCTAAGATAACTTTTATTGTTTGATCATATATTTTTATCTTATAAATATATTTATCAATAGGCTGCGGAGTTCTCTTGTATTAATGCTTTTCTCAACAACAACTGTACATTTTCAATTAATATCGGAGAACAGAAAATCCAAAACCCATGGAAGTCTAAAATGCTATCAAGCTTAAAACTCCAATTATGTTCCGTGTAGTGAACAGACACACATGAACGATTTGTTTATATTAAATGGAATCGAGGAGCAACTAAACATAAAGCATATTGTCCACTGGTGGACAAAATTGAGTTTGATATCGAGTAGTTTTTAATACGCAGAGCAGGCTTCTGCCCTCAGATTTCTTCAAAACACATTTTAAAACATTAAAGTAATTATGTTATGAAGAAATTTGAAAGCAAAAACGTATAGCACGGAATAAAACTACACGATTTTATGTCAAATTCAATTTATTCCCACCAGTAGACGATATGCGTTTTTATTAGTTGCTTCTAAACAGCGATGGTGAATTAGTTTCAAAAACAGATCTGAAATAAAGACTGAACGCGAAGACGTGCTATTTGGCGACAAAAGGGGGAGAAAAGCTGTCGGAAGGTGTGACTGACAACGCATCCACAGGGCCAAAGAGAAGACACGCGCCAGCGCAACCGAGGCGGCGGTCGGCCACGCGGCCAAGGCATCCTCGAGGCCGCGTAATCACCGCCGTAAATAAGCGGACTTGGCGCCGTCAGTGGCGTCGTCTTCGCGCTGCGCTGCATTAGCATTGCAAATGCCTCCCCGCCTCCACTCCACCCCCGCACACTGCCACCTCTCCGCCCCGTCGCCGTCGCCCGCGTCCGTGCACCCACTAGTGGAGGCACATGCATGCTCTTCTTATACCACTGCATCACCAGGAGAGATGGCTCAGGGCATCAGCTGATGTCACTGCAGTCCCTCCGACTGGGATGTCC